CCGGGTCAACCGTTCCTCTCTGGGTAGTTCTGACCCTAACTCTGGGCATTTTCTGTCGGTAAAACATAACACACATTTTTATGGAGCTTTTAAACACAAAATGCGGCCGCATTAGCAGAGAGGGACGAACGTAACTGTTGCTACTTCAGTCCCGACGGTGACTCCTGACATTTGAACGAGGATTACTTCCAAAATGGAAAAATTGTGACATTTCAAACTGCACCATATGTTGCGGAACTAAATCACCGATCATTTCATCATAAATATGACACATGGAGCGATAAAGACAATCTTTAAATCGAAAAAGTTCAGCATTCGTTTGAATTTACTCACCGCTGTGGAAAACAGTCTTCTCGGTCTTGTACCGCGAGGAAGACTGGACGCCTCAAGAATGTTTGCGGTTCTGGAGATGGGTGCGAGCTGCACATGCTGACCTAGTTTGACGCATCGAAGTGCAGATGGCTGTGGGTAAATCGCCGTGTTACTTTCGTCCAGAGTTACTTTCGCACCGGCGCTCCCCTACTGTGGTGTACAGTAGAAAAATAAAATGCATGACTCAACTATAAAATGTTCTTTTAATTTTAACACATATTCCCCTCCAAAATTCCTCAGGTAAATAAATATATCAGGAGGTACTGTGTTGTGGTTAAAGAAAACAAAATGTCCTTTTCATAAAAAAAACAAAAAAATACATATTAAAAAAATAAATGTCCTTTTGATTTTAACAGAAAAAATAATAATAATTTAAAAAACATACTCAAAAACCAAACTTCATTTTCTTTTTAACACAAATTCAAATAAATAAATAAATACTTAAAACAAAACAAAACACTCACGGTTTCCGCTACATGCAATTGATCGAGGTGCACCGCCACGGCTAAATAAAAGCCGCAGCGCCTGTGTAAAATGACTTTGCATAAACTCCAAAAATCCTAAGGACAATCAGGTGTCGCTAGTTCTTCTTGTTAAGTTAAAATGAGCGCTAATAATTCTTGACCTGTTGTCAATCATTTTGCTTGATGAACACGTTTTGTTCAAAGCTGCAGCTCGACGCGGCACATTTTAACTTTCGCTTTGTAGCAGTTCGTTTACCTGTGCTTTGCCAGAAGTCGTCAAGAGTAGACGAGAAGATTACGACCCTGAATCATAATGCCATGTTCCAAAAGAAAGGTAGATAATGAAAATCGGCAATTCAAAGAGGAATGGAGTGAACAATATGCCTTCATTCTCCCTCCCATGAGCACTAGACCAATGTGCCTAATATGCTAAGAGACCGTAGCTCTGGTGAAGAGTAGAAACTTGAAACGCCATTATGAGACAAAACACTACTATTTTGAGGAGACCTATCCACAAAATTCTGAGCTAAGAACAACAATAATCAAGGCGCTGAAATCATCATCAAGCTGCAAGCAGGATTCTTGTTACATCCATGACACAACAACAAAAAGCAGCAGAGTGCTCACTCAGAGTGGGGTTGGGTGTTGGGTAAGCACAAGAAGCCATTCTCTGATGCAGAAATAATGAAAGAATGTATGACTGAAGTGATGGATTTTTTCCTCCTTCCTTGTGTCCTTTGTGTCTGTATTTAAAAAGAAAAATGTTATTTACCCCCCCGATATATTTGTTTTGGATTCTTTGCAGGGGTTGTGAATGTTTTAAGTATTTATTTATTTGAATTTATGTTAAAAACAAAATTTCTTTTCCTTTTTGAGTATTTATTGCTAAAATCAAAAGGACATTGTATTTTTTTTTTTTTTTTTTGTTTTTTATGAAAAGGACATTTTGTTTTCTTTAACCACAACACAGTACCTCCTGATATATTTATTTACCTGAGGAATTTTGGAGGGGAATAGGTGTTAAAATTAAAAGTACACTTTATAGTTGAGTCATGCATTTTATTTTTCTATTGTACACCACAGTATTAAGTTGGTTGGTTGGCGGGTGATACATTGATTTGTTGTGGCTTGACCGACTAAAATGGACCTTCGACTCCTTGAAAAATTTCTTTGTGGACCTTTTAAGATTTGTATTTGAGGACCCCTGGTCTACACTGTATTCAAAGGCTGTTCCGAACAAGGTGAAACCATCACTATTGTACACAGCGAAAATCCCAGTGTTAATTCAACTCCAGTAGAGTTTACATGAGACCAACCCTTCCATCTTGGACTCAAATTATCTCTATTGGAGATGAATTAACATTGGGCTTTTCACTTTGAACAGACCTTCGACTCATTGAAAAATTTCTTTGTGGACCTTTAAGATTTGTATTTGAGGACCCCTGGTCTACACTGTATTCAAAGGCTGTTCCGAACAAGGTGAAACCATCACTATCGTACACAGCGAAAATCCCAGTGTTAATTCAACTCCAGTAGAGTTTACATGAGACCAACCCTTCCATCTTGGACTCAAATTATCTCTATTGGAGATGAATTAACACTGGGCTATTCACTTTGAACAGACCTTCGACTCATTGAAAAATTTCTTTGTGGACCTTTAAGATTTGTATTTAAGGACACTGTATTCAAAGGCTGTTCCGAACAAGGTGAAACCATACTTGTCGTAAGTGGGTCTTGTTTGGTACGCTCAAACCTTGCTGGCACTTCGGTTTTCGATTAGCGGACCCTTCCAGCTTCAAAAAAAGGTAAATCGCGAGTATATCGGCCTTCGCATGAATATTTTGATTTTTTTTTCACCCCTTAAAAAGGGTCTTGCTGGCAAGGGTTTGGTACAGTTAAAACTTGCTGGCACTTCGGTTTTCAAGTAAGGTAAACCACGTGTTTGTCGGCCTTCACAGAAATATTTGCCTTTTTTACCCCTGAAAGGCTCACTGTCCCTGCCGGGGTTCGAGCTGAAGTTGCTGGCATTGACAAATTTATGATGCCACATCATCACCCCACAAGCCCATGTAGTTTATTTCATTGTCGGCGTTCACATAAATAAAACCTCGTTTGGACCCCTTTAAAAAGGGTGCCAGGGTCAAACGTACAGGAGTCCAGCGGCCAGCAATGGTGATTTATATACATAACGTAGTATAGCTTGACTTGTAGGGGTCAAACCTTTTTACCCTTTTCACATAAATAAAATGAGCCAGCTCCCGGTCTACATTGGCAAACACGGGACAGGTTTAAACATAGGAGCATGCTATCAATGACAAGCTTTGTACAGAATTGTAAATGAAATTTTCGTTAAGAGGATTAGGCAAGCTTGTAGAGGAGGAGGTACTATTATTATGGGATACTTCAATTTTCCTGGTATCGACTGAGAAATGGTAAAAGGACAGGGTAAAGAGGAAGAAGAATTCCTAGATGTTATAAATGACAATTTTCTGGTGCAGTATGTTAAGAAACCTACAAGAGAGAAGGTAATTTTAGATTTAGAGCCCTGTACTGACCCTGAAATAATTTGCAATGTAGGGTTACTGGAGCTACTTGGGACTAGTGATCACTCTAGTGTTAGTTTTGATGTTTCATGGCAACTTAAAAAGTTGTATTATAAGTGAAAAATCCCCGCGCATCTGCCGGTGAAGGCTTAGATCTGGTGCCTCTCAGTCTCGGACAATAAATTCATGGAAGAGGGAAAAATACTGGAGCACACGGATACCAAAAAAGCGTTTAATTGTTCGAGTCAGGAAAAAACGAACGTGTTTCGATGCTACCACGTCTTCATCAGAGTCAGATTTGGGAGTGAATGTTGACCAAACCCTTACAGGTTCTAGCCATTGTGCCGTAGCAGTTAGAAAGGCCAAAAGGATGCTGGGATATATAGCCAAAAGTATTGAGTATAAATCCAAGGAGGTCATACTTCTTTTGTACAACACATTCGTTAGACCACATCTAGAGTATTGTATACAATTCTAGGGAGCATACTCTAAGAAAGATTTTGAGGCTCTAGAAAAAGTTCAGAGAAGAGCCACAAAGCTAATTCCAGGTATAAAAGATGAAAGCTATGAGAAGAGGCTGAAGATCCTTAATCTCTTTAGTCTTAGGAAGAGGAGACTTTGGGGCAATCTGATTGAGGTCCTTAAATATGTTAAAGGGATTAACAAAGTGAATTATGGAGGATTACTTAGGCCAAGTTTTGTTAGTAGAACTCAAGGTCACAAATGGAATTTGCCCAGGGTAAATTTAGCACTGACATTAGGAAATATTTTTTCACCCAGAGAGTAATCTCAGTGTGGAATTGCTTGCCTGACTTTATTGTTGAGGCAGAAAGCTTGGGAATTTTCAAAAGCAGGCTTGATTTAGTGCGAAATACCATTGAGTCATTGCGTATTTATAGTAATAGATTCACAATAGTACTAAGAAACTAAGTTGAGCTGAGCCTAGTTGAGCTGAAAGGCCTGTTCTCGCCACTCATGTTATGTTATGTTAAGAAACATGTTCATTAGCAGTAATTAGCTTCTTAATTAGCTATTTGAGCACATCAACAAAACTCTGCCAAAATGTAGGACTTTTTAGCCCAAACAAAGAGCAGTTACTTAAGAATGTATAAAATGCAAAATATTTAAGAAGAGGTCAAAGTTCAACTTTTTTCATATTTTCAACTATTGGCTCATTAAAAGGCATTAATTATTGTTTGACCGTTTTGTATCAAAGAGGGCACAGAATGACCGACTAGCTGAAATGGATGCTGTCCCAATGTGATAATCTGAATGCTTCCTATTGGGGAAAATGCTAAATATTATATACCCATTTTAGACCTAATTATCTAATTTAGCAGTAATTAGCAATTGATGCCCATGCACCAAACATACCTCAAAATGGACCTTTCGTGGTCAGGAATTAAAGTTCACATTTAAGAACAGAGGTTATTATTAAGAACAGAAGTTATTTGGTATTCTCGTCATAAGAACGCTGTAATTGGATACTGTATTTGCACTCATTGACCCCATGTGCTGATTGCGCTTATTTTAATACATGTATGCCTGCAGGTTTCATCATTATTTTCCCATTTTATTTTTCTGGACGTTCACCGAAATTTAAAAAACAAGCAGCTGTTTAAGAAAGGTGGCGCAGTGGTTAGCACTTCTGCCTTACAACAAGAAGGTCATGGGTTTGAATCTGGCCATGGGGCCTCTCTGTGTGGAGTTTGCATGTTCTCTCTGTGTTCGCTTGGGTGTCCCCCAGATACTCCAGTTTTCTCCCACAGTCCAAAGACATGCATATCAGCCTAATTTGAGACTAAATTGCCATAGGTATGAGTGTGAGAGCAAATGGTGTGTGTGCCCTGTGATGGATTGACGAGCTGTCCAGGGTGGGTCCCTGCCTTTCGCCCAGAATCAGCTCCAGCTCCCCTGCAACCCTAGTGAGGAGGAAGCAGTGTAGAGAATGGATGGATGGCTTAAGAATTAAATAAGTGGTATTTGGGATGAATAGCTCAAGAACATTACAAAGTCTGAAAGTTACTGGAAAGTAAACATCATAAAAGGAATTACAGATTTTGAGACCAGATTATTCATAACACAAAACACAAGTCTCAAGTCGGCTAACAGTACTGTCCATGGTCTTGGAATTACTGACAAAGAATCTGTCTTAAAACATCCTATTGGATCAGGATTGAGATGCTAAGTGTATCTTATCTAAAGACAACGACCATGCAATGATATCAACTCAGTGATCTGTGCATTACTTCTCTAAACTCAGCTCCCACTCATCGTCAGACGACAGACCCAGCTCATCAAGGTCATCTTCACAGCCTGGTCGTTTGCTTTGCCTCTTTTTCGGGGACCAACGCATATGGCAGTTGTGGACGCTGAAATCACACTATACTGTTGCTATCTTCAGCAAGTTCCCAGCTGCCATATTCCGACGGGTGCAGCCAGATCTCTGATTTGTCCGCATTCTTCCACATTTTAACAACAAAGGCACGCTACCTAATGCTGCAAACAACTCCTATTCGCATGGAGGGAGTCCACTTGCATCCGTTTGTTTTTCAGCTTGTCCAAGGGATTCCTTGAGCAGGTTTTCGGACCGTAGGCCTTCTCAAATGCCTTAAAGCGGAATCGATTGAGATCAAGCCAACTTCCCCTCGGCTTCGCACCATAGATTCTCATAGTGAATGTCTGGAGTGCTTTCTCTGTGCTGTCACTCACCTCGTTCTGTGACCCAAGCTAAGCAAATGCATGCTGGATGTCCGTGTTTTTCTCCAGTAAGAAACATGGTCTCGCCTTCCCTTTTCTCACAAAGGCAGAAATGTATGGTCAGATCCTGTGAAGGCATAGAAAGCTTGCATGACACCTTGCATTCAGATCATCATATTATTGGGACAGTATCCATTTCAGCAAGTCTGTCATTTTGCACCCTCTTTGATAAAAAACAGTCAAACACTTGCTAAATTTGTACTTCTTTATTAACCTTTAGTTGAAAATATGAAAATAGTTGAACTTTGACCTCTCCTTAAATAGGGTATCCTGCATTTTATACATTCTTACGTAACTGTTCCTTGTTTGGGCTACCAAATCCTATATATTGGCAAAGGTTTTGTTGATAGTCTCACATTGCTAATAAGAAACATGCTAATTAGTGCTAAAGAACACAGATTTTTTTGGATAAGTGTGCTTAAGTCAGAATTTTGTGGAAAACGTCTATCAAAATTACTCCATTCATGTAAAAATGTCTCTTTCTCAGTGTGGTGAGAGGCTTGCATTAGGATTCCCTCTGACTTCTCTCTGCTATGCTTCTTCATTGCAGAGGAAGGAGACCCACATTTCTGGAATTTAAAAGGAAAAGAGGCTCTGTGGAAGGCCTTAAAGCTGAAGCCCAACCCATACCAAGCCAAGAACCTCATCCTATTTCTTGGTGATGGTGAGAGAAGGAAGAGTGGAGAAGGGCAACTTTGCAGAGTTGTGTTGAGACAAATTAAAACTTCTATCCCATGTCTCATGGAGGTTTTCATCTCTTGTTTTGGTTGTTTGTCCATAATATTTTCAAGGCAAATACAGTGTTCTGAAAAAATTAAAACTAATGCTTATTTTTTCTTTGCATCTTTATCATCTATTAAGGTCTCAGTGGTGTAGAATTTGATCTTAATTGCAATGTGTATTGTTAATGCCCAAGTTGTTCATGTCCACTACACAGTACTATTCCCAATATGAATTTCATGAGAGCATTGTGTTTTCTGAAGCTGAAAAATCTTTTCATGTGTCTGAGCATTGTGGAAGATAGCATTTGCACCTGTATGTGTCCAACCTGTGTCCAGGCATGGGCATTTCTACAGTGACTGCAGCCCGGATCCTCCAAGGGCAGATAGCTGGAAAGACAGGCGAGGAAAGCTCCTTGGCCATGGATTTGTTTCCCTACTTGGCACTCTCAAAGGTTAGGCCCCTAAGAATGCATCGCATTCTGCAGAACCATACTACCCTGTGAATCATTTGCACAGAGAAGAGGCTAATCATAATGCATTATATTGCCAAATTGTTGTGCCTTGCTCGAGTGGAAGGCAGAGGACAGATTTAAGGTGCCTTCCACTCATAACTGCACCGTTAAGAATTATAATTCCCGCAATCTTTTAATCAAAACCCAATTTATAAAAAGTTTTTGGAGGGAAAAAATATTCTTAGGTCCGAATAAATAGTATTCCTGAAAACATTTGCAGCCATCATTGGCACCCCTAGAAAATCTTACAAGAAAATGTATTTTCCCAGGCATATTTTACATTTTGAAGTTCACCACAATGCTTTGGGGAACTTAATGGTAACCTGTGACTTCTTGACTGGTTTTAATGTGATTTAGCACTGTGGTACGTCGCCATGGTTAAGAATACAAGAATACACCAGCCAGTGGTGTTTAAAGGAAAAGTAAACATACAGTAAACCTACATTGCCAAATAAAGTACATAATCTCTGCTATCTAAGTCTTTTTTTTTGTTTTTACATTGTGTAATCTGCTTTCAAACATCTCATAATCCTAGAAATTTCAGACTCTGCTATTCCCGCCTTAGAAAATAATCGACCAATCAAACAATAGCAAATATTCTGCCCAGACCAGTGCCTGACGTCACCAGGGCTGATCATGTCTTTCGAGTGTATGTGGTCAAAACAAAGTTGGAAGTTGAGTCGATGATTAAGAGCTTTGACATGCCGTCGGAGGTCGGTTAGGTGAGGCAGAATCCTCACCGTTAAACAAATAATAACTCCCTATTACTTTGCTTGATTAGCAATCGGAGGATTGATTAACTAATTTCCGAGACTAAATGGGAGAATGGCATGCCAATTTCACCACTGTGGTACCACATTATTGCTCAGTGCATCGAAGTTGAAATGCCCATGAGGCAGCAAATTTGTTCACATTTGCTTAGAGGAAGCTAATGTAATGCTATTAATAAATATTAAAACCTTTCTTATGTCACGTTCAATGCGTGGTCAATATGTTTACGATAATGTTTTCCCCCTTAAACACGTGCTTTTTAATGCCATTCAAAAAAAAAATATATAGGGAGTTTATTTTCAGTCTTTTTTCATAATCTGATAAAACAAAGGTCATAACGATACACGGAATTACCGAGAGAGTTGAGATTTTTTTCTAATTAATTATTAAGATTTCCATCCTTGGAGTCTCACATGAAAGCATAAACGTAAATGAATCTTTTTGTCACTATCACTTCTTAATCATTACAGGTTACGTATAGCCTAGGCTAAGTCTTAATTGTTCAGTGAAAAAAGTTATAACTGATTGATTGTCAATCAGGCAAAGTACTTGGAAACAGGTTGCGCGGCTGTTGGGAGTTCCAACAAAACAGGCGAACCAAACCTGACTGATTAGAGCTTCCAGCCCGAGTGACGTAGGCATCCTCTTCTAGCTGAACGAACATGGCGGCTTGCTTGAGTGGTTTTATACCAGACATTTGCATGCAGATTCCTTGGTGTAAAAAAAAAAAAAATAATAATGGCTTATCGTTTTGGATAACAGAGATTATATACTTTATTTGGCAATAGGTTTACCATGTGTTTACTTATCCTTTAACAGAAAGTTAAAGCTTCAGAAATGGGGAAATTACTCAGATGATGGCTAATTGGTCAAAATTTCCCATTGTGACTATCAAGACAATAATTAAGCCCTTTGCACAGAGGCAAAATCTGGCTATATATGCGTTACTTTATTTAAGGCTTTATAATTCAAGATTTGAGCTTCACAGAGTGGGGAAAAATAGCTTAAATGAAAAAAGACACTTGTAGCATTTAGAATTCCATTGTATTTATTTTCATGCTTTTAGTATAGAATAAGGGCTTCAAATACAAAAGATTTTCAATGAATACTCAGCATTGAAATTGTATCTATCCAATCATATTTTTAACACAAATCAAATTTTGTCTCTTGAAGCTCAATATGAACTAGAAAATTTCTGCAAGAAAATTTGAAAGTGCCATGGGATGATGCATGGATGTGAGGGAGCCCTGCATGGTGGCCAGGCTCCAAATTCATTCATAGCTCCCTTATGATCTCATTCAGTGGTAATGGAACTAAGCACAGCTGATGAGGACAAGGAGAGAACACACCAGTTAGATCAAAGAAGTTAGTGTGGGTCTGTGCTGAGATATCACAGAGGTTTGCTTGTAATTGTTTACGGTACCCATATTTATTTCCCAAGTAAACAACTGATTTGGGAATGAGGTCACATCAACCATCTGAAAAACTACCTCAAATGATTATCATAGTCTCAAGTGATTATTATACTCTCCAATGATTAATATAGTCTCTAATTATTAAATTATCTCACTCTTATAATCTCATTGCTCTTTGGTTAATTAACTTAGAGTGCCCTTTATTTACTGTAATTTTAGTATTCTTTAACAGGTATGATGATTCACTTTTGTGCATGGATCGGTGCATCAAATGTGTTCCAAAATTTGGGTCTTGACAACCAGAGCTTCTTATGCACGAACATTGCCGTGTTATAAGGTGAATCAGTGTAGCTTGCCTGGTGAAGTCATGAATTCTACTGCTATGAACAAATGAAGAATCAAAAGTAGAAGGTAGCCAACTCATTTTTGTGCTATTAAGAGTGCCTTTTTCTAAGATCAGCCCAAGGGTGTCAACTCACCATCTCCAAATCTCCTCATACTTCATAATTATTGAGTTTGGG